GAGGTAGAGTACAAGAACGAGAAGTGGCTCACTTGCTCTCTCCCTCCTCCCCCCGTTCGCCCCCATCGTGCTCAGCCTTAGCAAACGTTGTGACTACAGAGAAAGGAACCGGCGTCCCTTGATCAGCAACCATGACCCCTCTCGGGCAGGCAGAAAGACCTAAAGCCAAGATATTGCCTATAGTGTCATCTCTCTGCGTCTGGTCACAGGGTGGCTCTCTGCATGGGCACCGAGGGGAGTGGTAGAGCGAGCGTGGGTCTGGTCCGCTCGGGGTGGACGTGAGAGTGGGTGCAGGCAGGAAGCGCAGCCCGGCCTCGCTCATCGATACTCCTGTGTGTGCTGTGAGTTAGGTGGAAGGTGTCCCCACATCCTGGTGCCTGCACCCCCAGTGTGGAGTGGTGACAGGAAGAGCCATCCATGGACAGAGAAGGGGGGCCCGGGAAAGGCAGGGAGGGGGGGGAGCAAGCATACGAGGCGCCAAGGCGAGGCTGGGCATGGAGGACTACCCAGGCTGGACCAGCCAAAATGGCAATTGTTCTGCCTTTGTTGTCTTGTCCCAGTGGCTATAGGTCCTCTAGGAGGTGTGACAAAGAGACACTTTGGATGACTGGGGTGCTGAGCAGCTCCTAGGGGGCTGCGTGCAGGCTGGACTGAAAGGGTGCTACTCAGCCTGGGCTTCCATGCGGTCTCTGGGGCTTGAGCTTCTCGGTGTGTGCCCATTCCCCTCCTCCTCATGCCTGTGGCTGGGTGCATGCTGGGTGCTTGGAGCCACACAGACCATGAGAAGACAATGAACTGTGTGTCAGGCTTCATTCTCTTCCTGGGACATGGCTGTGTTTCCTCTCTCTCACATGACCCACCCGAGCCTGTCCCTGAGGCTGGGAGGCTTGCGCTCCCCCCACCCTGGGCTGCTTGCCTTGCACGGCGGGGGCCATGCATCCAGCCTGGGGACAGCCGGCCCGACCCCACCAGACAGGCTCTTCTACCTTCTCCTCTCAGCTGCTCCCACCCTGCCCCCAGCCACTGTGGGTGCAACGGGCGCCCTGGGCAGTACTGACGCTACTGCCATGGTGGCCACCACCGAAGCCACCACAGGCCCCATCGTCCCAACTGTGGTGCCTACCACCATCGCCGCCACCACCGCCGCCACCACCATGGCCACAACTACCGCCGCCACCACCACCACTACCACGGAGAGCCCTCCCACCACCACAGCTGGGCCTAAGATACAGGAACCCGGTACTGCTCCCCTGCCTGCCCACCTCCCAGTCACGTCCCCTGAACAGGACGGGGCCCTGGGCCCTGGTGACCAACATCTCCCTTTGCTACTATTTGGCCTCACATACCAAGCCTCGCTTCCAGCGTGAGTACCCACCACTCACTACCACTCCTCTGAGTGAGCCCTCCAGAGTCCCTGCCTGGAGCGGGAGCCACAGCATCCTCCCTGAAGGTCACGCTCTGCCCACAGGCAGACAGGTCAAGGGGGATAGCCCATGGCTGAGCCCCCCAGGAGGGAGGGTGTATAGGAAGGAGAGGGGCCTGGCACTGCCTGGCTGGCCTAAGCAGGCCTCCTCCTCTGGCCACGCCTGCACCTAGCCTATCGGGAAGTCATGTCAGAGCCATGCCAGCTCCTTTCTCAGAGCCCTGTGTTCTGCTTGGCCTCTTCCCCCGGGAGACTTAAGAAGCCAGGGCTTTCCATGGAGCAGCACTTTCCATGTGTCCAAGGGGCTCCCTTACTTTTCCTGCTCGAATTCCCCACAGCCCCATGCACCCGGGGAGGGAAGATCCCAACCACTCCAGGGGCCGGCTCGCAGAACCCAGAGACTGTGCTCTGGGGCATAGCCAGCCCAGGAAGCGCGATTCTTGCAACAGGAGGGCATCTCTCAGGAAGCCAGCAATGCTTTGAAGAGCTGAGCCTCCAGTCGCCCTGATTACAGTGGGCCGCAGGGCCTCTCGCTTAGCCAGGCCACGCCAGCTGGAGAACCAGCCGGCGGGGCTGCAGGAAGCACCTGGAGCTCTCCTCGGGCCACCCTCACACTTCACCAGCTCTGCTTCCTAGGCAAGTGCCCCCCACCCCCACCCCAGCTCTCGCTGTCTCCCCACTCCACCACGGCCCGTCTCCTGCCTGCGTGAGGCTGGAGGCTTCTGGCTGGCTGTGGTGAGGATGCTTCAGACCCAAACTCGCTGTCATCGAGTCAATGCCCTTCACAGGCACCTCTCGTAACCGACACGGAACCACGACACTGCCAGGGCCCGTTTTAGGGCTCAGTTCCGTGGAACTAGGTGAACTGTAGAGGAAGTCAGGTGGTTCGTAGCTGGCATCAGGCTCCCCAGTCTCTGGAGCACTGCCCTCCGGGGCAGCGGCCGGTACTGAAACAACACAGCCTTGGGGAGCACTTGGGGTAGTTGGGGGGGGGGGCAGCTAGAAGCTGCCATCGGCAGTTTGGTGGCTGGCTTTCCCTCAGGCCACAAGGAGGCATCTTGTGCATTCACTAGGGGCTCAGCAGAAATCCAAAAAGATTGGAGGGAGGCATGGACTTGGCTCCCCAGCAAAGGGTCAGCTAGCCTTCTGGAAAGCTAGGCCTCATGGCCCCACAGGGTTAGCCCCATGGGCTCCTGCACCCCAAGTCTGTCTTCGTCCTAGGCCCTGAGGAGCACCAGGCCACACCCCTGATTTTATCCCCAGCAGTTGGGGACGTCTCCAGTACCTCAGCTTCCTGTACGGCAGCAGGTGTCTCTGTCATCCAGGATTCCAAAAATAACATCTTCATCTGTACAGTGTCTTACATCTCAGAACAAAATGTTTCCTGTGTTGACTCTTCTGGGGGATGGAGAGAGGGCTTTAATCTGTCTTTAACCCGTCTCTTTCAGACTTCAAGGAATACTCCCCGTCCCCACCCTCTGGGAGTCCGTGAACTTTGCCTCGCTCCATCTTTTTTGGTTTTGTGTTTCTAGCCAGCTCTTCCTCCTTCCTTCTCTTAGAACCTTCCTCTTGTCTGGTGGTCCCCTTCGCAATCCCCGCAGGGCAACCCCTCCTCCGACTCCCACCTCCAGCTCACGTTGGCTTCTGATTCATTGCTTGATCTTTTACCGAGAAGCACCCCCATCTGCATGACCTTTAGGACCGTTGGATTGGGGTCGATATTCGGTTGATGACCAAACTGTTTAAATGCAGGTCCTCTGCCTATTTCCCAGACTCAGGAGGCAGGACCCCAAGTCTGGAAGCATGACTAACCTGAACACGTTTCCAGCAGCAAGGGCCACACGAGTCCAAAGAGCTGGGACTTGGGTGGCTAAAAGCAGCCAGTGCAACGGGACATCCCACAGATGTGTAAGGGAGCCTTCCTCCTCCTGCCCGGTGGAGAGCCAGCCCCCGATGGGCTCACCTATGAAAGCCACCGCTTGGTACCTCACCTAGCAGGGCTCAGCCCCACCGGGGGCTGCCAGGGTGGCTTAAGAGGAGAAGGCGCTTCTTTGACGTGAGGACTGAGAGCCCTTTCATCGTTTTCTCAGCCCTCCAGACTCTGTCACGTGCCAAATAGATCATGAATAAATGCATCACCCAGTGTGCTCCCTTCATGTATCCTTGACGAGTGAGTCTGTGACAGTGGCCCCTTGCATGCTAATAAAACATACGTACATACAGGAGGCCCACTTGCCCAGGCTCTGAAACACAACGCTTCATGCTAGGTACTCCACTATTAAATCTTTGCTGGGAAACGGGGTAATCAGACTGTTGGGACTCTTGAAAAATGATTACGTTTGAAAATGAGTGCCCCTCTCCGGTACGTGAGCTATGGCTCCAGACAGTACGGCGGCTTTGATAAAGCAGCTCCCAGCTCAGAGGAGCTAGATAATTAATGCCCTCTGTGTCGAGTGCAGATCAAGCCTCAGAGCCTCTGTGGAGCCGAGACTCCTAACAACGCAGGGCTTGTCTGCTGTCTGGACCACTGACGGCCGGGTGCCCTCGAGCTCACTGCTCTTGGTCCTGCCCAGCCTGAAATGGGAGTGCCAGGACCCGTGCAGCATCTAGGAGGGACCCTGAAGTCCAGGCCCCAGGTCTCCTCAGGCAGTCCGAGGGTGTTCTCCACCTACCCCAGTTCTTGCAGCCCAAAGACAACCCCAGACCCGCCTCTGAGCAGTCACCTGTCAAGACCACCGAGGTCTCTGGGTGTCCTGGGAGCCTGTGGTGGCACCTCCTTGCCATTCTGCCCTTCATGTCTTTCATTCGACTTCTAATGCTAACCTCTGTCCTCCCTGCAGGACTTCAGCATTGAGGGGGGAGAGGCAGCCCATGTACCCCTCTCTGACAGCATCTGATGGGAGGGGCTCTTTTCCGGCCCCTTTTCTTGTCCCGCTCTCATCTGTGGTCAAAAGAATCAATACCATCACCAAACCCACGGCCATCGAGCCCGTTCCAACTCACGGTGGCCTTGTAGGACAGAGGAGAACTGTCCCTGCTGTCCCGGTGGGTTTCCGAGGCTGCATTTCTTTACAGGAGCAGACAACTCCACCTTTCTGCCTTGGAAAGCTTGGTGGATTCGAACCGCTGACCTTGTGGTTAGCAGTGCAAATTGTAACCTACTAGACCACCAGGGCTCTGGAGCCAGGACACTAAAAAAAGGAAATAAGCCCAGGGTAGATGGCACAGAGAGAAGCCCACTCTGATGCCTGACCTCTCTGTGGGCGAGTAGAGCATGTCTGGCTCTCCCTCCCACCCCAGCCTTCTGGAGGGCCCCAGCTCAGGCCTGGGCTGCTCCCTCTGGTGGGCCACAGGCTGCAGCCAAGAGCTCTGTCCAGCCCTGTGCACAGCTGTTTCCGACTCTGTCCTTGCCCTGCGGGATGTGTGTGTGTCTGTCTGTCTGTCTGTCTCTCTGTCTCCGTGTGCCGTGCTTCCTGCCTCACCATCACTAACTCCTCTTCTAACCCATCCCCAGCCCCTGATGAGCAGTCCATATGGAACGTCACGGTGCTCCCCAACAGTAAATGGGCCAACATCACCTGGAAGCACAATTTCGGGCCCGGAACTGACTTTGTGGTTGAGTACACCGACAGTAAGCATTGCTGGGTGGCGGCGATGGCGGCGTGAGTAGTGGTAGATGCCACGGAGGGGGCCTCCCGCTCGGCTTCATCACGGATTGATGAATCTGCTGTGCACCCAGGTGGCAGTGAGCTGGGGGAGGGGTTCAAGGGAAAGGAAGGGGTTTCGGACACCCATGGTGAAGGTGTAGGGGTGCATGTGCCAGGGCCGGTCTGGGCACTGGGCCCTCCCTCCATGGCTGGCCCAGGGTGCTGAGTAGCCCCCAGTGAGTTGAATCCCACTTCGGTGTTGATCCTGGACTCACAGTCTACATGCTCTGGTGTTTCCACTAGACAGGCTGGCTCGCAGGCTGGGGTGCAGCTGGCCTACGCTCACCCCTACAGGGCCCTGGTCTCAGAGCACTGATGGCTTGAGCTGATAGGATCATGCTTTATCGGATCTCGGGATCCAGACAGTCAAGTGTGGCTTCTCCTCTGAGTGAAGGCTAGGAGATCCAGCTGGGCTTACCCATCTGACCAGTTCTTAGTTCTCCGAGCTGGAGGAGGGACTCACAGCGTTTGAATCCATCATCCACATCACATGGTTACGGCTCCCACCACCACCCTTCACCCCACACCACACACACACACACACTTTGCCTGATGTCTGAGAGCCTAGGAGTGAGAGCTGAGCCAAGTAGCACACTCCTGCTCCATCTCCACTCACCTCTAGGGATGCTCTCTGGCCCCAGGTGGGAAGTCGGCCACCTCCAGGGTAAGGTGGCTGGTGTGCTGAGTGTCGAATGGTGCAGTTCTTCCCGAAGTGAGGGAATCAGAAAACTCCCAGGTCGTCAGACAAGGATTCACCTGATGGGCAAGCTTTGCGGGGGACTGCCGGGTACCTCCCGGGCTATGCCATGGGTTGGACCCATGGTCTCCTGGCCCTTGCCCTCTCCTTCCTTCCTTGGACAGGGGACCAGGCACAAAGTGCTGTCTCTCCAGCCGTCAGGGCCTGGCCCTCGGCTGACTGAGGTTTCTGTTCCCCAGGCAACCATACGAAAAAAACTATCCCTGTTAAAGCCCAGCCCCAGCCCATACAGCTCACAGACCTCTATCCCGGGATGACGTACACGGTGCGGGTTTATTCTCGGGACAACGAGGGCATCAGCAGTACCTTCATCACCTTTATGACCAGTACAGGTGAGAGGGGACCTGGCCTGGCCATCCCCAACAAGCATGGCGCATCTCATTCTCATTCTCAGCCACCTGCCTGCCTGCCTGCCCGCCTGGGAGAGAAGGCTCATGCTCATTGCATCCCCAACGTTGCATGCCAGGTCATCTCTGCGCTGCCAGGAGCCCAGAGGAACTGGGGTGCATGCACAGGGCACGGAAGACGGGGCCAGCCTCATGCGGAGGAGTAGGAAACCTTACCAGTGATGAGGGTGCTCCGGTCCCGGTTGTGTGTTTGCATCAGAGAGCTGTGTCCAAGCAGCCGTGTGTGTGTGTGTGTGTGTGTGTGTGTGTGTGTGTGTGTGTGTGTGTTGCAGCCCACCCCTTACACACCAGAGCTTGCTCTCTCCACATGGAATTAGGATGGTCCAGATGGTGCAGAGCCTGCCAGGAGCTCGCCCAAGGACCAGCGCGGACGCCTCTTTCCGACCCGCTGCCATGCCCAGTCACTGGCTGTCAACACTTCCAGAATGTGTGACAACTTGTTTAGGGCTTTGTTTGATTTGAATTTCTGTCCTGAATCCCATCTTAGCCTAAGCGTCGTTGGCCTTTTGTGTGTCGGGGTGGAAAGCAGTGCCAATAGCCAGACGATGCTTCGGCTCTGGGCTGTCGGCTCACACCTTCGTGTGCCGAAAGAAACTATCCTTGTTAAAGCCCTGTTAAATCAGCTGGCTGCCAGGGCCCCTCAGCAAAGGGCGCAGGACCAGAACCTGACTGCTGATGGGGTGGCTGTAGTGGAGACCCCCTGTGGACACTGGCTTGCTTGAGAGTGAGTGGGCAGCTTGAGCCTGCCAGGCTGCTGCCGCTGCAGGAAGTGCCCCTGTGAGCACTGGGGCCTGAGGGGAGTTGAGGAAAGAGAATGAGAGAGAAAAGAGGATCAGCCGCTGCCCCCAGGTGCCAGGCAGCCTCGAACCAGACCAAGACAGTGTTCCCGGGACCCCAGATTGTTGAGTTCAGTGGTCATTACTCCTATCCTGGGTGTGCCCTGGAGGCCCGGCATGGCTCCGTTCGTTAATTCTCAACTACTAGCGGGAAGGCTGGCTGTTTGAACCCACTCAGTGGCACCTCGGGAAGGAAGGCCTGGCAGTCTGTTTCTGAAACCCTCATGGAGACAAGTTCAAGTTCGGCTCCGACCACGTGGGCCCGCCTCGACACAGAACCCACTTTCACAGCCAGTTTGGTCTGGCTTTGGGTTTTGGCTTGACCTGGGCAACCTTGATCCCAGAGACTGGCATCTTGGGAGCTGCCACCCATCTGTGTAAATGTACCCCCATCCACCGACCTATGTCCACGTTATCGGGATTCAGGGAATCTTGAGTGTCCAGCTGGCTGCCTGGACCAACCACTGGCTGGCCGTGCCAGCACAAGTAGGTTGGCTGAGTACATAGCCAGCCGAGGGAGCTGGACCATTGACCGAGGGGAGTAAGTGGCAAGCCTTTGTCTGACCCCACTGGAGTCCCGATCTGCAGCTTATTGGTGCATGCATCTGATGCTGCCTCCTTTCGAACCTGGGTGTCTGTAGCACAGAGGTGGGGAACAGAGATGGCATGTGGTGACAGCACTTGGTCTCGGGATCCCTCGGGGAAGCCTGCTGGCAGAGGAGGCAGACTTCTCTGGGCTGGGCAGAGATCCAGAGAGAAAAGGTCCAGCCCCGCCCCAAGGAGCACACTCATCTGATGCAGGTTGTTAGAGACCGTGCACAGACAACAAAACCAGGCTTCAAGGGAGATTCCAACCATGGACTTCAGTATCCATGTCTCTCTTCCTGAACTTGAGCTGGCCAGGCACACGGATGCTTGCTTTGAGAGGGAGAAGGACACTGGGCACTTGCAAGTGTCCCCAGGCTCCTTCCAGAGCCCGCCGGTGTGGGCAGGCTAGGGCCGGAGTTCTGAGTGCTTGTGGTTCACTTAGCTCACAGGCTGCTGAAAGGACTTGATGGAAACCACATAGGGAGAGAAAGCCTTTCCGTTCTTGGAAATAACTGACGTGCCTCGGGGTGTCTGGAGCTTTAGAAAGTGCACACACTCGTTGCTTGTGGAAGGATGGATTCCACAGCCAAGTCCGGACCCACCAGGATCCCCTGTCTCCTGAAACTGAGGTCGTGTGCATTTCTGGGCCTCAGCCCCGGCATTTGGCAACTGCAACCCGGCACTGGATCCTGCAGACTCAGCTTGTCTCAGGAAGGGATGGCAGGAGACCACTCGGGATGCCAGCAGGCTCTCCAACCCCTTCCAGCAAAATTCTCACTGGGGAGCAGATCACACACACCCCCAAAGCCTTTGAAACCAGAGACCCCAGGGGCTATGAGCATGCCCGTGTGACTGCAGGCCAAGAGGTCCATCAGCTCTCCCTCCTGGGTGGGGCAGGCAGGTGTTGAGTGTGGCCAGCAGTCTGAGGGGAGGGAGGGCCCTAAGGCGAGCGAGCTGCAGTCAGGTCTGAATGCCCTGTGTGGCAGGCGTACACATCTGGTCCTCCCAGGTCGGGGCCAGTGGGAAGGGAGAGGTATACAGGGACACTTGTGAGGACTCCCTCACTGCCACTGAGTCCCTGCCGACTGGTAATGACCCTACAGGATAGGGTAGAACTGCCCCTGCGAGGTCAGCCAGCCAAACTGCATCTGTTCATCCATCGGCCTCTCCCCATTTCGGAAGTAGAATTCTCCTGCAGGCTTTGAGCAACCACTTCCTCTTCTATGGGCAAGTCGTGTGCTCCCCAGTGAGAGCCTCCAGAGCCTGGCAGGTGGGCAGCCCGGGTCTGAGGCCGGGGCCAGGGGCCAGGGTGTATGTCACAGCACAGCAGTCTCGGCCTCTAAGCTAAGAACGGGCGTGGGGGGCACAGTCCTCCCTCCTGGCTTGTTCCAGCTGCAGAACGGGCAAGTGCACGCTCCCGGCCTTTGAACGCCGGGTGCAGTCACGTGCCATAGAGGCATCCAGACACGGCGGGCACAGCAGCCAGATGGGCTCACCAGCCAGGTGGCATGCTCTCCTCTCCAGAGCCCTCGCCCTCGCCCTCGCATCTTGGGGTCCTCTCTGTGAAGGAGATCATCTTCTTTGAGGGGGCCTCACGGAGCCCCCCTTACCACACATCACTCAAAGTTTCGCACCGCCGACTGGCCAACATCAGTGCCCAAACGTCCCAGAGAGTTCTGTGACCTTGTGGGTAAAGGCTGTGTGGAGGTCACAGCTGAACGTCCCGTGTGGCAAGGGAGAGGGAGAGGAAGCCACCTTTATCTGTGGTCCCTTGTCCCTGGAGTGCCGGTTTTCTCCCTAAGGCAGGGAGTCTTAGGGAGACGGCTTCAGGTTGTATTAAAAGAAGCCTCTGGAGATGGGGTGCAGGCAAACCGAAAATAAGTGGGGAGTAAACACAAGGTGAAATGATTCCTTCACCCCGGTGCCCACGTGATACACAGGCACACCAATAGTCACGTGGCCTCAAGGTGGATCGGGAGTCAGAATTGAGAAGGCATCCCAGATTGGCATCAGAACAATAACTCACTGCCATAGACTATAGCGACCCTGTAGGGGAGGAAGAACTGCCCCTGTGGGTTTCCAAGACCATACCTGTTTGCAGGAGCAGAAAACTTCGTCGTTCTCCAAGGAGCTGTCAGTGGTTTCAAACCGCTGACCTTTTAGGTTAGCAGCCCAACATGTAAGCACTACGCTACAGGGCTGTTAATAAGGAGCCCTGTGTGTTCTTTTATGTGGCATCAGGCTAAGTACTAGGGGGCTCAAAAAGATACCCTGTTCACCAGATGCTGACGTGATTGGACGTCAGAACCCTAAGACAGAACCATCAGTGTTCAGTTCTGCGTAGTACACTGGGGTGGAGTCAGCGTTCAGAGGCTGGTGCGTGTGTTGAGACAGAGAACATAGGGAAGGGGGGGAAACAGGGTGGGAGTGGGGAAGGAAGGCCAGACTAAGCAACTGGCCAGCGGTGTGTTTAGAAATCAGAAACAGTCGTGGGAATAGACAAACCCCGTAGCTGTCCAGTCGATCCTGACTCACATTGACCATCCAGTAGATTCTGATTCCCAGTGACCGTCCATCCAGTAGATTCTGATTCACAGTGACCATCCAGTAGATTCTGATTCACAGTGACCGTCCATCCAGTAGATTCTGATTCACAGTGACCGTCCATCCAGTAGATTCTGATTCACAGTGACCGTCCATCCAGTAGATTCT